CTTTACCTTTCCAAAGTTAAAGAGGTCTACTTACCATAATTGCACACTTTCTCTTTTCAAATTAATGAACTTATACGTGATAGTGTGTACTAAATAATTATGTTGTACCCATATAATTAAGTCGTTCATTTTAAATTTAACTCGAGTCTAACGAGTTAAAACACTCTTTAGTATTAAATTAAATATACGAAGCTCACATAAATGACATTTCACTTAACCATGTAATTATGGGAAATACAATTCGAAAGAAGAAAAAAAAAAGGGGAAAAGAAAAAGGAGAAGATATTCCTATGAATGACAATTATACAAACTAGCAAACAAATAAAGAACACATAATGCATATAATCCAAGAATAGCAGCTCATCCTTCTAGAACTGTCACGCCATGTACTAAAAGCCTTGATCAACTTGCATTTCCATGTCTTATATAGACAGCCAATTTCATAAAAAGCTCCAATGAAAGGGTTTGTCTTCTAGAATTTTCACCAATACCACTGCCCCACTTAATTTGGTCTGACATCAATCATTGGTAGGTCTAATTTAAAAAATCAGTATACAATAATTTCATGACTTGCAATCTCAATTTGTTCTTCTTATGGTACATGGATAAAAAAAATATTTCTAAAAAGATAAAAAAATAACAATTGTGGGAGGAAAAAGAAATTGGATCTTCTGATTTGTTGATCCAAACTAGAAATACCTATCTATATGTGTGAAGATGAGATTGATATGTTGGGTTGTTAAAATGAGAACTAAGATGAGAGTATAAGGATCTTTCAAGGAGGATTAGGTTTTACCACTTAGAAAAATGCATTTTTGCATAACAAGAAGGTTACACTTGTGTTCATGCATAAAACGACGTTGATAGATACTATAATTTGTGTGAATTCGTAATACCACATCAGCATACCGCGTAATATTATCGTTAGACTCTACAATTTCTCCTCAAGCATGCCAAGCCTGACTTGGTGAGTCCACCACATGAAAGTCCCTGTCTCTCGAAGATATTTTTTATTATATAATTTTGGCTATTATCACTTGGGTTGTGTTAATTTTTATTTTCTTGATCAATTATTTATTGGTAGAATCTTGGATTCTGTTACTATCTTTAGCGGAAGCCCAACTTATTCCAACCATTTTGGCATATTCTATTACTTATTTGATGTTTCTTCTTGCATAGTTTTGTAATTTCCCGAACAACAACATTCAAGAACGGAATTGAATTTAAAATAAGTGAACAATACGGACAATTAAAAAGTTAAAACTCACTGCTGCTTTCAAGTTTCAACCGTCTGCCACAGATAATTACCAAAAGAATAAAAATAAAAACCATCTAGCACAAATGAAATGGTCCATATTGTGTAAACCAATAATCATTGTCTCGGAAGAACAGTGCGGATTTCTGATTTCTAAAGCCAGATGCCAAAATAATAATAAATAAATTAAAGAAGAAGAAGAAGAAAACAGCTAACAATCACATTTCTTCTAATAATAAACTTATTGATAAAGCATGCAACTTTTGGCTCGGATTTTAAAGTTGCACTTACGTCACTTAATATATAGTGCCTACATATTTACTTAAATTACTTTATCGTGTGTTAATGTGGGGTTTAGCTTATGTTTGGGAGTGGTCAAAATTCACCTAATTTGCCAAGGAAGAATTCTTAGAGGCTACGAATTCCTAGCGGCCAGAGAATCCCTAGCGGGCGAAGAATTTCTTGCGGGCGAGAATCCCTAGAGGGCGAGAATTCCTAGCGGGCGAGATTTCCTAGTGGGCCACGGCCTAGAATTCTTAGTGGGCCGAGAATTACTAGCGGCCGAGAATTCCTAGTGGCCGAAGTGTTTTCTCAAAAAGGTGGCCGAGGTCTTTTCTTCAAAGGCCATGGTGCCTTCTCAAAAATGCGGCTGATGTGTTTTTTTCAAAAGCCGTGATGCCTTCTTAAAAATATGGTCGGGCGCTTCCCTTTACAAAAGTAGTCGAGCATATCCTTACAAAAGTGGCCGAATGCTTCATTCTCAAAAAATTGGGCCGGGCACTCCTTGAATACCTTGGTCGACCACTCCTCTTACAAAAAGCTAGGCTAGGGAGAATTTTCTCCTTGCTCACCTTAGCGCCCTCCTCTCAACACTTGGGCAAGCAAAGTTGGGCTAAAGGAGTTGAAGTTTGGCGGGAGGTATGTCCGTCGAATTCCCAATATTCAAATATTTGAGAACTCAAATATAGTCCAATGTAGGGTCAAGCCCAACATCCAAATATTTGGAGTTCCCATACCACCCATCTTGGCAGATGATCGACGGATGGTAAGCCAACTCTAGAATTCTAAAAACTCAAGGGGCACAAGGTTCCACCAGATGTCAAGATGAAATCTCAGAGGTCAAGGCCCAAGCTACGAATTCACGCCCAAGATTTTCGGAGGTCAATATGCATGTGATGGAGGCCTCACAAGGAAACAAATCAAGGAGATTAATGATAGTTCAGCATACTCCAAACACAAGAGAGAATCAAACAATCAGAATATTTCAACCAATGTAATCCCACGAATTCAAGGGGCCTCAAAAGGAAAGATTTTTAAAAGATTGACATTTGATCATTCAATGGCCAGCCCATGGGCTGACGAATGCCATATATAAACCTCACCAGACGAAGACAGAAGACACACAACATTAGACAAACGAACTTATCTTTCGTCTCGCACTTTTCTTTTCCTAGACTTAGGATTTTATTTTTCAAGCACCTAATGTAGTGAGTTCTTCATATTTCTAGTGTAAGTTTATATTTTTCTTGTCATTTAAATTCTTGTTCTGATTTATATTTCTTGTCATTTAAATTCAAGTTTGTTTCTATTACTTTAATTTTCATTGTTATCGCACTTCAATTAAGTTTAATTTCAAGTTTATTTAATTTTATCGTTCTTATCGCTTTTATCTCGTTCTTGCTTTATTTAACGCTTTGATTTATTTTATCGCACTTCAATTCTTGTCTTTACGTTTCTACGAGTTTAATTGCATTATTTTTACATAAAACCCTAAAAATCACAAAAACATCCGTACGAAACCTAACCATTCTCGAACCCGATAAAGTGAAAGAATCTAGGCCAAGAGGAGGTTCCTTGCTTGGCCGATCAATCTTTTGGTCAGAAGTTAGAAGCGCAACACATCCATCTATTCACATTCCATTCAAGTCCAAATTCGGGGCTTGGTGGTGGTGGCACACCCCGCATCCAAAGAAGAAGGACCAAAAGTTCATTCTGTCGGCTGCCCCGGCCGAAAAGAGGGAAAGAGCTTAATAGAAAAAAGTAGTTACTTGCATATCAGTGGTCTTAGGTATTGGCAAACACATGAATTTTTTAGCGAATGTTCAATTTTGAAAGGCTAGAAGCTTTATTAATCCTTGTTTAAAAAAAATTAAAAAAACTTCTTAAAGGCCCTAGAGGTTAAGGCCATTTTTTAAAAGCCTTTTATCATTTATTAAGCAGTTGCAACACTTGGTGGCCAGCAGCAGGCTCACTTCCGCGAGTGTGGATTAGTTGAGATGCAAATGCAGCTTTGGCGGATGTTCTTAGGTTCAGCAAATGCTCAGGTTTTGGAAGGATAAATTGGTGCTTTCATCTATAAAATTAAGCAGGCCCAACAAGGCTGACCTTGCTGCTGTTTGGCCTATCAAAATAAAATTTGATTCCTATGTATCAAAATCCAAACAAAAATAATCTATGTCTCGATTATTTTGTTTAATACCTAATTTTTCTTATAAATATTAAGAGTCTAATTCGTGGGTTCGGTCTGGCGTGAAATGTTTTCTCCGGTTTTATTAAGTGTTCATTTCTGAGATAGAAGGCAGCTCTTGTCAGATGGTATAATTTATATAGAAAGCAACTTTGTTCAATTTGTACGAGCATGTCGAATATGAATCGTCACTGTTCAATGCCACAATTAATTTTTTTTTGGGAAAAAAAGAGATGTAAGGTTCAATATATGTATGAGAGATCCGTGTCTGGTAGAGAGATTCAAGCCCAGGTAAAGAGCGTGATGGTTTTCTTAGCATAATAGCTATGAACTTTTGGTCCCCTCCTAACAGTCTAGTTTTCAAATTTCATGTGAAGATTTCAATTTCTATTATTCAAGAAAATAAATGATAAAACTTTGACCAGATGGAGATGTTTATAAAAATAGTAAGTTTGTTTTCTTTTATCGGTGACTTCAAATTCGCTGATTTGTTATCGCTTGAGTAGCTAGTCTGAAAGAAACATGTTTCACGAACCAATCTAACATGCTTGAGTTGTCTAAGTACGTACTTGATTTGGCCAATCCTTTGTGAATGGACTTTACAAAACTAAAAGTGTTGAAATGTAATCCTTTCTGCTGCTTTCTTAGAGCCGAAGTCACCAAGGCTGATTTCTCATTTCTTTTATGTCTAGTTTATATGATGTAATGAGAGCCATTAGATTATAGTCTAAGTGAACTCTCTAGCTTAGATTTGGCATGACAAGTGTAATCACCTCATAGGGTGACAACTGTAATTCTGTTAGAGAAGAATCACATTTCTCTCTATCTCTGTCAGACACACTATGTAAGCCAACTGTTTGTGAAAATGCAATAGAACAGTGCCTTCTCATTCTTCTTCTTTCTCTCTAGCAAAATCTCCAGAATATACATCTTTTCTAAATCTAAAAATACAGATACAACCATAGAATGTTTATTTTGATGAAGAAGCCTCATGGAAATGGGAGAATCCTAGCAATGCAGAGTTGAGAATGCCTATGTCAGATGAAAATCACGGTACTGCAGAAACTGAACAGAGGGTATTGGATGAACAAACTCGGTTCTTGGATACTCAAATGCAAGTGGAAGAAGAAATTGCACCTCAAGGGGAGGAAATGCTTGATAGGTCTCAAACATTTGATCACACACCTCACAAGTGGAGGAGTATTAATGACATCATGGCACAATGCAATATGTGCATTGTGGAACCTGACAACTTTGAAGAAGCAGATTTGATAGGAGATGATTGAGAAGAACAATACATGGGAATTAGTTGATAGGCCATTTGACAAACTAGTAATTGGTGTTAAGTGGGTCTACAAGGTCAAACTGAACCTAGATGGTACTGTGCAGAAGAATAAAGCTGGGCTAGTGGCTAAAGGCTACTCACAAAAGCCCGGAATTGACTACAATGAAGCATTTGCCCCTGTGGCACGGCTAGATACCATCAGAACCTTGATTGCCCTTGCTGCACAAAAGGAATGGAGTTTGTATCAATTGGATGTGAAGTCTGCCTTTCTCAATGGCATTCTAAAGGAGGAAGTCTATGTTGAACAGCCTCAAGGATATGTTCAAGAGAGCAAGGAAACCAAGGTTTACAGGTTGAACAAGGCTCTATATGGACTTAAACAAGCCCCAAGGGCCTGGTATGATGAAATAGATGCCTACTTCAACACTGCAGGTTTTAAGAAGAGTTTAAGTGAAGCTACTCTCTATATCAAAACAAATGACACCTCAGGTATTATCATTGTCTCACTTTATGTAGATGACATCATATATACTGGAAGTTGTCCTAAATTGCTTGAAGGGTTTAAGCAAGATATGATGCAACACTATGAGATGACATATTTGGGTTTGTTACACCATTTTCTTGGCATGGGAGTGGTACAAACTGATAAGCACATTTTCATTCACCAAAAGAAATATGCTATGAAACTCCTTGAGAAGTTTGGAATGAGAGACTGCAAGTCAGTGGCAATTCCATTAGTGGTGAATAAGAAACTGTGTAAAGAAGATGGAAGTGAAGCAGCAGATGAAAGTGAATTCAGACAGATTGTAGGAAGTTTGCTTTATTTGACTGCCACAAGACAAGATGTCATGTTTGCATCTAGCTTGCGTGCTAGGTTTATGCACAATCCCACAAAAACACATGGGAACTGCTAAAAGAGTGTTGAGATATATACAAGGCACACTAGACTTTGGAATTGAGTTTGCAAAAGGAAAAACAGCTACTTTAATCGGGTATTGTGACAGTGACTGGGCTGGGAGTGAGGATGATATGAGGAGCACCTCAGGATATGGCTTCACACTAGGCTCAGGCATGTTCTCTTGGGCCTCCATCAAGCAAAGCACAGTTGCTCTGTCTACAGCCAAAGCTGAGTATGTGAGTGCTGCAGAAGCAACTTCACAAGCTAAGTGGCTCAGATTTGTGCTTGAGGACTTTGGTGAAGAACAGGTAGAAGGGACTCCAATTCTATGTGACAACACCTCTGCAATTGCAATGGCAAGGAATCCAGTTCATCACCAGAAGATAAGACACATCAGCCGAAAATTTCATTTCATAAGGGAAGCTATTCAAGCAAAAGAAATTGAACTCATCTACTGCAAGACAGAAGATCAAATAGCAGACATTTTGACTAAGGCTCTGCCTAAGGATCGGTTTGTGAGGTTGAGAAGCCTGCTTGGAGTGAAATCAACTAAAGGATTAGAAGGGAGTGTTGAAATGTAATCCTTTCTGCTGCTTTCTTAGAGCCGAAGTCACCAAGGCTTATTTCTCATTTCTTTTATGTCTAGTTTATATGATGTAATGAGAGCCATTAGATTATAGTCTAGGTGAACTCTCTAGCTTAGATTTGGCATGACAAGTGTAATCACCTCATAGGGTGACAGCTGTAATTCTGTTAGAGAAGAGTCACATTTCTCTCTATCTCTGTCAGACACACTATGTAAGCCAACTGTTTGTGAAAATGCAATAGAACAGTGCCTTCTCATTCTTCTTCTTTCTCTCTAGCAAAATCTCTTGAATATACATCTTTTCTAAATCTAAAAATATAGATACAACCATAGAATTCTAACAATATGTACTGTCCATATTCAGTGCCACATTTGTTTTATGTGGTATTTCATTGAAATGGAAAGCAAAGAGATGTAAACTTCATTATAGGAGTGAGAAATCTGTGTCGTATAATCGGTAAAAGGGCATGATGAGGATGGTTTTATTAGCATATGAATTTTTGCTCCCCTTCTCAGAGTCCTGTTTTCTGTTGTCATCTGTGATTTCACTTAATTTTGTTTTGAGTTGGCCAAGTACATAGCTGGGAAAAGTACATACACAGAAAATGGACTAAAGAAAGTGGCTTCTTTTGTGGTTTTGTATATGTCATGGGGAAAAAAGAACAGAAACAAAGGCGCAATTTATAGGAGGATTTATTACAATGTTCATTGTTGCAAGAAAATTCAACTGCCGTGAAAATCTTCAGCTGCTGAGATAAGAAAATCTCATATTACATGAAAATCAGATATAAAAGCCAGTAGCATTAGCCAGATGTAGCCAGTCGACCATGAGCAATGTGTCAGCCCTTTGAGCCCAAGTTTGATTCCTCTCGTCATCGTTTAGAGTAGTTTATACTATTAAGAGTTGATGATTGAATTCTTGGCAATACTGTACATATTATCTGATATTTCATATCAGAGCGATATATAACATCGATCTCAATGGAGATCATAATATAATATAACATCTCAACATAGTTGATGCTTGAATTATTGGGTATAATGTACATATTATATGATATTTCATATCAGAGTGATATATAACAACATCTCAATAGAGATCGTAATATAATATAACATCTCAACAAAGTTGATGATTGAATTATTGGCTATACATACATATCAGATATTATAATTATTTTCTCTACTGTACAACGTACACACATGACAAGATTATCTACAAAGTGTGAATTCAAATGGGACTTCCCTCTTTGCATGCTAGAAAATACCTTCAACTGCTGACATAAGAAAAATCAAAACCTTCTTCAGCTTCAGTATGTGTAGATAGAATAGATATAATTTCAAAACAACATTCATCATATAAGTAGTGTAGTAAATACCTGGAATTTGAAAATGGGGGTCGTCGGCACATAGAGGATTTATAAACCAAGACAATTTTTAGAGAAATGTTTTAATACCTACATAACCCAATGAATTTCAAACCATTAAAAAATATATATATATATATTATAATATAAAAAAAATATTAATTTAAATAAAATATATAAAAAATAATAAAAAAAAAAAAAAAAAAAAAAGAAAACATTCTCCAACCACTGTATATTCCCCACCATCATCAGTTTGGTATTTGAATAAATAGACTTGGAATTTTCCCAAAGAAAAACAAACATACAGAAAAGAAGAAAATTTGTGATGTTAAATGAATAATATAAATATAGGCAATATATATATATAAATAGACATTAACAAAAAGAAATCTTAATAATTACCAGAAGAGGTGGAAGCAGCATGGTCCTCCTCCATTAGGGATTCATCATTAGTTTGTTCTTCTTCTTTCCTATTCGAATAAATAGATGTGGAATTTCAAAAAAAAAAGCATAAAGAAAATAAGAAAATTTCCCAAAGAAAAAAACAAACATAAAGAAAATAAGAAAATTTGCGATGATAAATGAATAATATAGATAGACATTAACAAAATGAAATCTGAATAGATAAATGAATAATTTTTGAATACCTACATAACCCAATGAATTTCAAGCCATTAAAAAAATTTCTATATATTATATATCATCCTCTTAAAAAATATTTGCAAAATTTAAAAAAAAATTAAAAACATTCTCCAACCACGTTATATTTGTCTTTACTCTACCCCCACCACATGTGAGTTTTTTTTATCATCAGTTTGATATTTGAATAAATAGACATGGAATTTCCCAAAGAAAAAACAAACATAAAGAAAAGAAGAAAATTTGTGATGATAAATGAATAATATAGATAGACATTAACAAAATGAAATCTTAACAGACATTACCAAAAGAAGAGGTGGAAGCGGGACTTGGCGTGGTCTCATCATCATCAGTTTGGTAAACTCCGTCTCTTTGTACAAATTCTTTACCAACTTTGATGTTTGGGATGTGAGAAATCTTGGGCCACTCTCCTCTGCCTTTTCGGCAACCTTGTGCAACTGGTGATATTTCGTAAAAGCCCTCATCGATGACCAACTCCTTCAGTGGTGTATTTCGTAAGAAGTTGGGCAGTGTTTTAAGCGAATAGCAACAATTAATTCTCAAGGAAGAAAGGCAGGGCATTAGTGTAATTGTCTTATGAGAATCCTCTTCTTCACTCCACCCTGTCATTCCTTCCCACTCTTCCCACATGGGCATAAATTGGAATTCAAGTCTTTTCAAACTTGGGAATAAAATAAGTGGTGATGAGGATGTTTGTGTTTCTATTGTTCCATCTATTCCCAAAAACTCAACTCCTACCTTTTTCAATCTATTCCAATTGGATATCTCCAGTACTTCAAGGGACTCCAATCTCCCCAAAGGAGGCACAAACTCAACAAACTTGCAATATTTAAGGGTAAGGCTTCTCAATTTGTTTAACGACGTCATCCAATGGGGCCGAAGTCTGGTGCCACTGTAGAATTTGATAGATAAGGATTCCAGATTTGGATGTGGTTGTAAGGCATTCACTGTTTCTTCCTCGATGTGCTGCTCTGTTTCCTCAGCTAGGGGGAACTCGAATTCCAGACTGACAAGGCAATTTTTGTTCACCAAATGCGCTTTCTCGGCCTGCTTCGCGTCCTTGAGATTTTCCAGAAATTCTATTCGAAAACTCCCACGAAGCTGGTCCATGTTTCTCAAATCACTTAACTCGAATAATGCTTCTTTGTTGTTATCAACGTCATCATCACCATGGATGTAAACTTCATCTAGCGTTCGTAGACTTGTTAACCTTGCAATCCCCTTGGGCAATTTTGGACTACGACACCACCGAACATGAAGATGCTGCAAGTTAATCAGCTTTCCCATGCCTTCAGGTAATCTTTCAAGTGCCCAGCAGCTAATGAGTCTCAAGGTTTGCAAATTGAATAAATTACACACGGTATCTGGCAATTTCATCAAAACATTATTATAAGACAAATCAAGATACCTCAAATGTACCAATTCTCCAATCTCATTTGAAACTTCTTTCAAGGAGTTACGCCTCAGATTCAACGTTCTAAGGCATTTTACTTGTGAAATTAACTCTTGACCAAAACTAGTAATTTTTGAATCAAAAGTTGCAAGAGTCCGTAAATTCTTGCAGTTGCACAAGGAACTCGAAATTAGTGGACCTTTGGGGGCAAACATTAATGTCAAATGACGAACCTTCTTATATCCATCAAACTCCATTATTCTCTTATTATTACCACCCTCAGCTTCCAAAACTAAGCATTCATTCTTAGTTAGAAATTGTAGAAAGTCATGCACAACATCATGCATCTTGCACCCTGTTATATTTCCAAGATCATCTTTCTCAAATTCTTGAAAGAAAGAGCGCATTACTAAGTTATCAAAGTACATTTCGCCTACCGCTTCTTTTTCTTTGTTTCTGATTGAATTAAGATAATTTTGTGACATCCACAACTCAATCAACTCATCTTTGACAATGTTATAATCTTTTGGGAAAATAACACAATACAAAAGACAATGTTTGATTGCTGGGGCCAAATCATAATAACTTAGTAAGAGTGGTTGGAAAACTTGTTCCTCAATCTCTTCTACATTCCATATCTTACTATTCAAAACATCTTCCCATTGTTTCCTCATTTCCTTGTAGCGCATGAGACCACCCAATGCCTTTGCCGCAAGGGGCAGACCCTTACACTTTTTTACAATCTCTTTGCCAATAAATTCTAACCCCTTAGACTCATTTCTTTCTCTATCAGCCAGTGCAATGTGATAGAACAATGCCCAACAGTTTTCTTCACTCAACACCTTCAAATTGACAATATCAGTGGATGCTCCCATCATCCTCGCAACTTCTCCTTTTCTTGTGGTCACTAATATTCTACTACCCACAGCCCCATTTTGTAAAGGTAACTTTAATTGTTCCCACTTTCTATAGTCTTGATTCCACACATCATCAAGGACAAGAAGGAACTTCATGCCCTTAACAGACTCATGTATAAATTGCAAGAGAATTTGCAACTCATTTGAAGCTGGGGAATTCTCTTTTTTCAGACCATCAATGATGGCTTTGGCAATTTTGATCTCATCAAAAGGATCTGACACACAAACCCATATTCTATTGTCGAAATGGGCTTGAACCTTTTCATCATTATAGGCAAGTTGGGCAAGAGTTGTCTTGCCAATCCCTCCCATCCCTGTAATGGGGATGACAAGGCAGGTTGCCCCTCCTTGACCACTCTCACTCAGCAACTTTTTTACTAATATTTCCTTTTCGTCGACTCGACCAAATGTCTTATCAACGAAAGAAGAACTTTTTTGTCGTTCAATTTGTTCACTTCCTCTTTTCATGTATTGAAAGTTATAGTTTTGCCTTTCATTAGCAATCAGAGCTAATCTTTCATTTAGTTCTTTTATCTTCACAGCAATGTCACGACGAAGAATTACTTGACTGACTTGGCCAACACAAAACCAAGGGGCAGGAATGCAGAAACATACCTTCTTGGTAGTACTAGTACTACCAGCATTACCAGCTTCTTTT